ATCATCATGTAAAGACGTGAGAAACGCTGTGTGTGTATATACACAAATCAACTTTTATTTGTTCTTAGACGATGGATGGCTTGCGATGTCCCTTCATTATGACGGCTTTATGGTCTGTGCCTTGCGCTCTCTTCGCCGTGCAGCCTTATCCATCCGGCGACTCCGAGCGCGCGCCAACAGCGAACGGATTTTATTACAACGCTCCCCCTAGCGTACGTCGCCGCACTAAATCGAACGATTGCCTTCAACCAATGACACGCGCCATATGTGACATCATTGCTATTTTATAAGATCTCGCGTCTTTCATCAACTACAAGTACCGCTTTCTAGTTTATAACATCTTGCATCTTTTCATCATCTGTTACAAGTACCTCCATCTAGTAAACACTACAAGAACTAAACGAGAGGTGGCTACATACAGGAGACGGTACCGCCATCTAGTGAACACTGCAAGAACTAAACTAGAGGTGGCTACATACAGGGGACGGTACCGCCATCTAGTGAACACTGCAAGAACTAAACTAGAGGTGGCTACATACAGGCTACAGGGGACACACAGCCCACGCCCTAAGGAGCTTCGCCCCTAAATAGTAACCAAAGACGTTACTCCTTACAGACAGACACAGAACTGAGGAATACTACCTCAAGGAGGTAGAGCAGCGGGCCGCTCCCACGCCGGAACGGGTAGGCCGAGCCTCACCGCCGCGTCGTGGGGCCTCCGGACAGCCCAGAGTTGATGTGCAAGTTCTGAGCTCCTGAGCGCAGAGCTCCATTCCTCTTCGGTCATGTGCCGAGAGTCACGTGCTGAGGGGCACTACCGGAGAATGTGTTTTAACGTAGATGCAGTGCCACAATCTGGGCTTGTTGGATAAATGATTTCAATAAACTGGCTGTGGGAATGAAGAATGGGGTATGATCTTGTTTGAAGCATGTGGAGGGTAGATGCCTGGGCCCTACAAAGTTTCCTTATACCAGAAAAAAAAAGAACGCGTTACCACCCTACGTTATCAACAAAAAAAAAATGTAACGCGTTACCGTTACACTTACCAAAAAAGTAACAGATGTTACCTCTGCTGTTACTCAGCAATAATAAATATCGAGCATTTATTTTTTGCTGCAGAAACCTCCAGTAAAAATACTTTAAAGCTAACATGTTTTACACAAGGCTTCTAAGGCAAACGAAAATTTTACCGAAAGTGTTGATTTAACTAGAAATGTTTGTACAAATGCACTGAACCTTAGCGATGTCATAGAGCTTTTAGTTGGTTGCCTGTATAGTTGCATGCGGTGGCTTCGGACTCGGGCACACGGTGAAGCTATTTGTCTCAACGTCACTCATGCACACTACGCGTCTCAATCATTAACGCCTCAAGATGATTTCATACAAGCTAGCCAAGTTATCTGTTCTCTTAAGGATAAACGCTCTGCGTTAAGGATTCATCACTGGAATGTCAACAAATTTACGGCATTCTTTCATCGTGCTTTTTCTGGCGAAATAACCACGCGAAATTTGCAGTAGTTATGAATTGTTTTAGTGGCCTAGTCGCCTTGGACTATACGTATAAACATTTTTTGTTCATTTTAACCGGTTTAAGTACCACAAAACTTGGTAGCGTTTAAGTGAAGGTGCTCAAGATCATCCTCGCTCACTTATGAGTTTTTAATTAAAAACATTAACTAAAACGCATTCTGCCATTGCTGCATGAACTCAGTTCATCATGCCAACAAATTACATGCTCATCATACGGTCGGCAAGAAGGTTGGGCATACCATCGGTAACATTCGTGGTACGAGACAGATTGGTGCGCAAAAGCGCTTTGTCAGCTTTCTGCGCCTCCGCAGCAGAAGAAAAGGTCTACGAGACTTTTTTCAAGGAGAGAAGGATCACTTCCTTTTTTTACTGTTAGGCGGAGGTCCAAAAGCTGGATTTTGTGTCTGTGCAGGTACAGGGCTGTGGTGCTGTCGAGCACAGGCGCTGGCACAGGGCGGAAGCTTCAGTGATCTCAATGAATAGCCAAAAAGTGGTCGGCCTAGTTCCGAACATCATTGTCGTGCTCTCGGAGACGGTCACTGAAACACTTGCCTGTCTGGCCAATGTGGCAGGCTCCACGCGACTAAGGGAGTCAGCAGATTACACCTACCCCCCTTTCCCCTGCACACATTCTAAAAACCGATTATGAAGCCTTACCTTGCATCTTAGTTCGCGTTTCGTGACCGGACTGCTACTTTGTGAGTCATAGAGGAGTAGTTCGGTCACGAGACGCGAAGTTGGATGCCAGGTAAGGCATCGTAATCAGATCGTAATCGGGTAAGTGGGAGTGGTCTGCTGAGTCCCTTGGTCGTTTGGAGCATGCCACATCTGCGACACCTGCCACAGTGAGAGCGACGCTCCTTCTAGCCACCATAGCGAGGCTAACTTGTGTGGAGCGAAAAAAAAAAAAAACACATGGACACCGACATGCCGGCCGATCTTTTTCAACCTGTGTGGCGAAAGCTGATGTTTGTAAGAAATGACCGCGACTTTTTCACGTCTGCCCATGCTTTCCTGTACGACATTATCTGCAGCACGTCGTACGTCCCCTGAGCTCGTAGAGGTTTTCGGCTACAACAACCAGCAACGTTTCAGGCTAGCCAGTCTTTCCGAGCCACAGTGCGCTATACTGTCTTACGTCCGCGCAGGGAATCAATGCCTGCTGAAGATACCACCTTCTCCCCCGCCGCCCAATTCCTCAAACTAAATTCCGTCCACGCTTTATTTGTTAATGCCTGGTAGGTGACAGCGGTCCGACGCTGCAACAAAGTAATTCGTAGGGGCGAGTTCTGGGAATGTGGCACCTTCAGAATTAAAAAATTAACAAGTAACGTGGCACCTCAGGTTGCCGAGAAATTTTAACTGAAGTACGTTACCCATTACAGTTCAGAAATTGCAATGAGTACGTAAGTTACCGAAAAACGTTACGCGTTACCGTTAATGACGTTACATGTTACGCGCTACCGCCAACACTGGCAGTGTTTCAGGCTCATGTCCCTGATATGTGATATTTTTTTCATTATTAAAGTTTCTCATGGCCTATGTGACAGTGGTGGCAGTTTTTGGACGATAGTCTTTTTGGGCACCTTCAACGGAAAAATTTTGGTCTGTATGTCTGTACACTTGTCTGTTTGTCTACTCTTAACTGCATTGAGTATTGATATGGCCGACCCCATCCGCAGCGCCCACTAATGTTGCTTAAGATTTAGCGTTCATACATGAGAAATTAATAATTAAAACGCAATCATGGCACACGTCTGGGGCGCCATAACAACACGTATGTATTCTGCATGTGCGTCTTTTACTAGAGAAGGCACACAAAAGTAATTTTAAGGACCGTAGCACTTATCACGCTGCGCTGACCATGCAACGCTTGCACGAAAAGGCGAGTGTTTCCAACGATTTGCTAAGACGAGATGGTAGTGGCACCTACCCGTCGCCTTGCATTCTACATCTTATCACCTTTAAGACTGCCACGCACACCCGTCTAAGGGCCACGCGCTTTGTTTTTTAGAAAAATTACCAGATGACGCTCATGTCTCACGTGTGACGTGACTTTATGCCCTCGTGCGCCTTCACTGCACGCTTGAGGCACTCTAACGGTGCGCCTGCAGAATGCCATTCACCAATTGTCTTGCGCAGAACATCAAATAAATGTTTTGTTCACTATCTCCACAGGCAAGACTATCGTCTTTTAACAACATTTGCAGATTAACATGCAGATACGGGGCCATTTTTTTTCTGGATACAAGTGCAATCTTTTATATGCTGCCATGTTCTTGCGATAGATCTCCTTCAACCTCCTAATCTCCAACCCCAGTGCAGTGCAGTGCAGTGTACCAAATACTACCTGCAGGCTCAGCTCCCTACCTTTCTACTTTCTCTTACCTGTTCAATTCTCGGCAACGTAACTAGTTCGGCAACGTAATTGCTTCATGTGACCTATTGCAGTCTGATCTACAAGCCATAAGTCATGTTCTACATTTTGAGGCTCTGTGGCCGTAAGGGACATCATTTAAAACGTTGAAAAAATTTGTTATTTCCTAATGCACACTTAATTTACCTTAAAAAGTTCGCATTACGTTCAGGCAGATTAACCCCAAACAAGACGCGCTTAGTTCCTCGTTGATTATCTCTCATGCACGTTTACTTGAGTTTGATTATATTTACTCCAAGGCCTGATTTTCATTTATTTCACATAGAAAATATGGCCCAACTTTACTACACGTCAGTTAGCTTTGAGTAATTTTGACTGACAAAAGCACAGAAAAGATACCTTTTATGTCACTATTGATTCTACTAATCACGTTACGTCTTATTTTTATGTTATCTCTCTTATTTAAAGGTCTGTGGTTCTCGATCGGTGCTTTATGTTTTGTAGAAGCTGGTCAACTACTTCTACACTTCTAAGCATCGTTTCAGTGAGGATGGGAGCGCGTGCCAAGCAGCTGTAGCAGCTATGACTTCCCACACCAAAATAAAGCTTTTCGCACGCGCAGTACACGTCACTCGGATACGGGGAGATTCGCCATCACAGGTACCACATCATCTTACTGCAACTTAATCGAGGGTGATCAGTGTAGCGCGTGATAGCGAGGTAACGACGAGACAAAAAAAAAATGGTGCTAGTGCACAGCTTTGTGTTGGTACAGGTCAGCGTCACTGATAGCACCACGCGGTACTAGCTCCAAGGTTCACGCTAACCACACTCACGACTGCACCTATACCGGTAACATCCGCCAGTCACTGTTTGCTCGTGAGCAATTTAAGGCTCATGAGCAATGTCGTGAGCAATGCTCGTAAGGGTGCAACGAAGTGAACTTGCTGATGCGACTTGTGGTTACAGCACTCTTCGGATATTGACGCGAGTAGTGCTCAGCTTGGGACTTAACACTAAATGAGTGCAGCGACATCAATGCCGGTGTTCCAATGTGGCGCTTTTTCTAGTAAAGGAAACAGACACACTGGGTAAATGCTCAAGACATTTTATTTATTCCTAAGTCTGCGGCTCACTCGCCTGGCACATACGCGCATCAGGGGGTCACAGAAGCGGAATCTTGCTCTGCAGCAGGCTGGCCTGAAATGTAAAAAAAAAAAGCGTGCAAATTCAATCAACTTATCAATGCAGATCTCCAAGCAATCGGGCCAACTTTCTGCTTGCCGAGCAATACTGCCCTGACAACTGTAAGTAGGCGCCCTTTAGACGAACCAAAAGTGTTATCGAGAAAAAGAAAACTGGTGATCTTGAAATAATGCTTAACTTCCAAACGACATCAGATACAACGTGTGCCCACGCAGTAGGGCTCAGCATAAGGTGTTTTCAAATAGTTGAATGTATTTGCTTGCGTACAAATTGGTATACCAAACTCGAAATGAAAAAAAAATACATGTTCTACAATTCTACGACAATTTGACAGCTGTGTAGTCTACTATAGAACAAATGACGCACCTACTACAGTGTGGCACCAGCCACGCTGAAGCACGCTGAGGCCGTACTGCACGAGGAACTTGGCCTGGCACAAACCATTTGCCTGAAATGATAGAAACTTCAAGTGTATAGCCAAATTTCTATGAGAAGGCTTAAATCAGTGGCTCAGTGCGATGGGCGTAACACCAGTGAATTCAAATAAAGAATCGTGTGGTCACAGCTTTGAGTTAACGAAAACGAACGTGGATGGAAAAAGAACTTCAAGTCTAGTGGGAATTCAACACAAATTCTTTGACTTACGAATGCACTATATTCGTTTTCAGTGAAAGTAGCGCGTAGTGCCGGGGAGAAAGAAGTCTAGTGATAAACCAAGGGGCAGCGAGAGAGCTTTTTTCACAGCAGTTGAGCGTGAGGATTTGCCAGACATGAGAAGGTAATCGCGTGAATTCAAGTAAAACTTTTTTGAAACGATAGCTATACCGTTATCTATAGCTCAACACAAGCGCTAATTTGGTGCGAAGTTGAAAAATTACTTCATACAGATGGCCATTGTTGATCTACTTTACTTTTGATGACAATCTCACCTTTCGGCTAACAGGCTTGCACACTTTCGGGCTGTAGCGGACTGATTGATCGCAGTCGCTCTGCACAGTGACGAACTCCACACGGACAACATTTCCACGTGGTGGCTCAGTGAACTGCACAAAAAGCATTGATATTTCACAGGTGGAACCACTATAAAGTGTAAAGCACTGTATGTCATCCAAAAACTGAAGACCGAATGGAGGCCGCCCTTACGATCACAACAAAAGGAGCAGTACCCCTCATGCCTCCACTAATGTTTTCCCAATTGAGGCACAGTTAGTGGCTGTCCGGTTCAAGTTTGTCTGAAGCGCCCATCAATTTCTGCGGAGTTGAGTGTTTCCGCCTTGGAAGTGAAAATACTGTGGACATTTGTAGTTGTGTCCGACTACAGCTTGACGTGTTGAATTTCAGTGGCAGATCGCGAGCGTTGGGCCGGATTTCAAATGGAGCGCGCAGATCCAAGCGGGATTGCTTTCGCTAAATCTGCGATAAGAACGTGCGCGTATCGACGGGAGCTTTTGGTGAGCGGAAATCTAGCGAGGGAACAAGAGAGGATGCGAGAGAGTGGGAAGCGTTTTCCGGACACCAATCGGTGATTGGATGAAAGGCAGGCGCACAGAATACGTCCCTAGAACTTCCGGTCAAATGCACTGATTTCGGCGTAGCGAAAATTCCTGCTCGACGGAGCAATTCGTGATCGGCGGTTGCTCTCAATCTACCACTGGAACACACAATTCACACTCTCAATCCGCCATTGGAATGCGATTACTCCGTTCAGAGCAGAAAAACTTTCTTTGTTCAGTGAAGAAAAACTTTTTCGTTCAGAGAAGAAAAATTTGCTCCGTTTAGAGCAGAAAAACTTGATCTGGATGCACCATTGAAATTCAGCATTAGGAAAGACTGTACAAGAGTACGGGCACTCTAGAGATGGCAGAGAGTCTGCACTTTGTGTAGACCAGCAAAGCATGCTTTCATCGCAGACTCCTTTGCAAACTTTGGCGAACACGACACACGAGTGCGGAGATATTCGGCGAATTATCTTTCGTTATCTCAGTTTTTCATGCTGTGTACTGACACTTTTTTTTTATCTGAACGCTTGGAAGCAGTCCGCTCTGTTAAGTGCCACACAAGAAAGCGAAGCGGCGGCGTGAAAGAGAACATGCGCATGCCTGCTACGGGCAGTCTCAGACAGCGGTCGTTTGATAGGTACGTTTCCCGGAAACCAGACACCACATTCGCTTCTTCTGAGTACCGTTATTGGCGTTTTTTATGCTCAGCACTGCATTCAAGATTTAAAGCAAGGGTCAAGTGGTAATCCTTCAAATGGATGGTACGTCATGACAACTACTAACTGCACTACGTGAGCGTCGTAATCTTTACCAGGAGTGCTTAAGACTTTAATTATCTCTTTTAGAATAGACAGGAAACACATCAGCGGCCGGGGAAGGCTTTCGCTCTGTTCTTTATAGTCTTCATGGTCATATTTCATGCTTAGTAAAGCTTATTAGGTCTAGCTGTTCTAAAACTCAGGTGCTTAAGCCCTCTGATGTCTTATGCTCAATTATATCTATTTATTATGATGCATTCCTAATTAAAATTGAGTCCACAGCCCAATTAGGTAAATACTATTGTCATACTTGCATTAGAGTGATTGAAAAGTTGATTTCTATTGAAAAAGCATTAATAAATTCTGAGTCTGCTCGAGCACTGAAATGCACATATCGAGTGCACGTAAGTTTTGTGAAAACACACACTGACTCCTGTTATCACGTAGATATTGCAACCACACAACTACCAGCAAAAGCAAAGAAGAAAACTTATCTTATCCAACAAAATCTTATCCGCGGATACGGCGCAACTTGTTTTATACAACGTAGAAATATACAACACCCATGTGACTTATTGATACGCCAGGCGCAAATTTAAGAAAGCCTCAGCGAAGTATTCGGCAAGTCATAGAAAGCTAAACTTAGTAGCAGTATAAGGTGAAGCATATTTTGGCTGTATTCGATTATGTATCCTCCGGTTAACGTTTAAAGAATAAAAATATATCCCCAGTTTGCATATAAATTCACTGTTTGAGATGAAAATCTGAAAAGAAAAACTGCCAAAAGAAGAAATATAATTGTAGGAAGAAACTCTCTTCTGAGAGAAGCCTAACAAACGTGCAAATACTCAGATAACACGCAAGACTTTTTTTAACAGCCATATATTGAGGCAACTAGTAACACCAGACCACCTGAATAACATGTCCTCTGAGCTCTGCTCCAGCCCACTGTGTTTTTCTATTACAGAGAATGAACTACTTCTCAGTGCAATCATATCCGTCTACTGCATGACCACATATGATTTATAATAGGGACTTTTAGATATTTATAATGGTTAAACCATTTCAACTCGCACGAGATTACACTGAAAATGCAAGCTGATGTATTGGGGAGCAACAGAGAAATTTCTAGCAGCGACAGTCATCATTGCGCGTGATTATCCATTCAACGCATACATCCGCGTAGACGCTTTGAGAATGCCGCTAAGACCTTTCGCTCGGCTTCCACCACATCGCCTCACCTCACTTCGAACTTCTAAGCCCCACTCAGCGTTCAGCGCAACTGTAGCTCAGCACTGCGCAGTTCTTCCACTGCACTTCACGCATGCAGCATGGCTGCCGATACCACCGTGGTGCCTACACACACTCAAAGCCTTTATTACAATGCCCGACATCAAAAATAAGAAAAAGTCGTCGCATCTAGCCCTAAAACAGGCCACACAACTCTTCCTGCTACAGGAGTACAACCGACGCCTTCGCATTTACACGGATGACTCGGTGTCTTCATTAAGCTCAGCAGGGGCGGTGGTTATTCGCGCGAGGCAAATCACAATTACATTCACGACATTGCATTTGACGTCGTCGACAGCTGCAGAACCCGCCACCATACGTGCAGCTCTGGAGTTTAGAGTTGAAGAACCTTCGGGATCTCGGCCTATCTTCTCAGACTCGAAGGAAGCGCTTCAATGTGTTATGTCACCCTTTCGCCATGAACCAAATGAACAGTTAGTAGCTGAAAGAAGGCTTTTCATCACCAAGCAATTGAGAAACAGCACAGCATATATGGATATCAGTGGATACCAGGTCATTGCGGTATATATGGCAATGACCGCGCAGATGAGGCCGCTAGATCTGCACACGATGGTACCCCATACACAGCCGTTCCGTTCTCAAGAACCGACGCACCTACAAGACTTCGTTGGCGTGCACGTGACTTCCCACTGGTACAGTAGAACTCAACAGAATTCATAAACGTGTGCCTGCATAACTTAGATCTTGATCTGCAGCTTCTTCCTTCAGAGATATTTCGGGCTGAGGAGACGTTCCTATGCCACCTGTGGCTTGGAGTGGCCTTCACGAACGCATACTCTTATCTCATTGGAATGGCCAGCTCTTCTACATGCACTTACTGCAGCTGCGAAGAAACCACCGCGCACCTTCTATGTGAGTGCACCCACTTCGACGCACCAAGACAAGAACTGACTGCAGCTCTGGATGGACTGGATGATCAGCCTTTGTCGGAACAAGGGATTCTGGGTCATTGGCCGAGCCTATCCTCAGCCCAGAAGGCCTTGAAAGCTTTGCTGCGCTTTTTGCGGACAACTGGCCTCAGAGGCAGGCTTCACTGTCTTATACTCTTCGATGTTGCCTTTTCTCTGTCGCTATTTTTTGTAATTCATCTCTCTCTTTTCGAAACACTTTTTTATCATCTTTTATTCCCCTCACCCTTTTCCCCAGCACAGGGTAGCCATCCGTTCTAAGAACTTGCTAACGCTCCTGTGGGGGGGGGGGGTAAACAACAAGAGGGAAGGCAGGGAGGTTAACCAGGCACATGCCCGGTTTGCTACCCTACGCTGGGGGAATAGGAAGGGGGCATAAAGATGAGAGAGAGAGGAAACAGAAGAGAAAGAGAAAAAAAGGAGGATCCTTCCGCCTAAACTTTCCTCCGCCTTTCCATTATGATGTTTTTTTTACGTGCACTGGCATCAGACTGATTACACGAGCCTTCGATTTTTTCGCGTCTGTAGAAATCAAACCACAATGACCAGGACTGAAACCACTATGTCAGGTAAGCAGCCTATACCAAGTAACCATTGTGTTCCCGTCGTGAAATATGAATGAATAAGTTTTCTGATATCACTCGAGTATCACTTATGTGAAGCTTTTTAACATAGCGTCCACGTGACATTGAAGGTGAGCTGTATGGGGGAGGTTTAACGTCAAACCCCCGTATAATTATGAAAAACCCCGTAGTGGAGGGGCTCCGAAAATTTGACCACCTGGGATTATTTAACGTGCACCTAAATCTGAGCACACAGGCCTACAGCATTATGCCTCCATCGCAAATGCAGGCGCCGCAGCTGGGATTACATCCCTCTAACCTGCGGGACGTTCAAGGGCGTGATAAGTGAACTGATGATGGTTCGTTTCACTTTATGATATGTTACAGAGCTTGTAGGCCGAAGAAATGATCAAAGAGGCTCACCATCAGTGCTGCGCGAACGACTCGAAGAACGGTGATGAGGTTTCCCTTGCGCGGCTGGTGGTGGCGTCTCTTGAGAAGCTTGTGCGCGTAGCGCAGCAGGATAGGGTTGCCAGGAAGCGAGCGCCCTGGAGCCAGGGTGCATGTTCCAGGTAATAGGCGCCGGTCCGCGACTTCCGCACGCAGCCCTTAACAAGTTTGTCTTGTCGTCCCCTATCACTGCTCCATAGAGCAGCATTAGCGAGGCGACCCACAACATGGTGCCCGGGATGATCGTAAACACTAACTTAACTGTCCCCTGCGCTTGGAAGAAGCTCGGCTGCGTGCTAGTGGCTGCTTTTGAACGCGTTTGAGGGGAAGGGAATGGCGAGGATGGATGAATGTGCTGATAAGTCATCTTTGCGCAGAATAGTGACGCATGCTATGTAAGATTGCAGTGTGCTTTAGAAACATTTCATTCTCGTAAATTCGCCAAGTTTATGCTGTGGGAACCTTTTAGAAATCAGTGAAAGCTTGTAGGAGTATTAGCGATACAATTTGTACCGTTGCCGATGCAGCCCTGCAAGTGTAAAAAAACGCCTCTT